CATGTAGACGTGCAGTTATGCCCATTTGAATGCATTGCACACATGCCATGCACAATCTGGTCACAAAATTGTTTATGGCTGAAAGCTGGCTAACTGAATCCCACCTAGAAATGAATTCACACCTTTAGTTTGTCAAATAATTTCCACCGCAGTCCCAAAGCGTGGGTAAAATCCTACACTCTACTGGAAGAATTGCTGAAATAACTCACTGACTATGGGACGTCACCCTGATACACCTCTGACTCGAACAAATGAAACTGTAAGCCCGTACTTCAGGAAAAGACAGCAAGCTCATATTCAATGGCAGCACACCTTAAACACAATGTGGTGAGGGTGCAACTACTGGATGTTACTTACAGAGAAAAAGAAATGAAGAGGAAGTTGAGGAACGTGCCAAATGCAAGGCAGTTTATTCTCATCTGTTCACAGCAGGATAATCTCCTGCTGCTCAGAAATACTCCATGACAGGTTTACTATAATCTCTGAATGAAGATGGACATTTTTATGCATTTAGGTAGTCTATCTGGATTTTCACTTTTCATTTACTGGAAAAAATCTGATCCTGCTTCCGGAATGAAAGCTTCCCCCGGGGTTAAACATTCACACAGGGATGATTCCTGAATGCTGGCTGCTGCACAGAGTTTCAATTACATAAGTTTTGTAAAGGTCAAGTCTGGGCTTCCGTAAGGCCTTTGACACAGTCCCCCACGGCATCCTTCTATCTGAATTGGAGAGGTGTGGGTTTAATGGATGGACTGCTCAGTGGACAAGGAATTGGATGACCGGTCACATGCAGAGAGTAGTGGGCAACAGTTCAGTGTCCAGATGGAGCTCAGTGACGAGTGATGTCCCTCAGGGGTCTGTGCTGGGACCAATACTGTTTAATATCTTCACCAGGGACATGGACAACAGGATCAAGTGCTTCCTCAGCAAGTCTGCAGATGACACCAAGCTGTGTGGTGCAGTTGTCACACCTGAGGGACAGGATACCATCCAGAGGGAGATGGACAGGCTCAAGAGGTGGGCCCATGCAAACCTCATGAGCTTACACAAGGGCAAGGTCCTGCACATGGGTTGGGACAACCCTGGTATCAACACAGGCTGGGGATGAAGGGATTGAGAGCAGCCCTGTGGGCAAGGACCTGGGGGCACTGGTGGATGAAAAGCTGGTCATGGCCCAGAAGCATGTGCTTACAGTCCAGAAAGCCACGAAAGCATGACCAGCGGGTTGAAAGAAGTGATTCTTCTCCTCTGCTCGTGAGACTCCACCTGGAGTACTGCATCCAGCTCTGCAGCCTCTGACACAAGGACATGAAACTTAGAGCAATTCCAGAGGAAGGCCACAAAGACGATCAGAGAGCACAGCCCCTATGGAGACAGGACGAGAGAGCTGGGCTTGCTCAGCCTGGAGAAGAGAAGGCTCCAGGGAGACTTTATTGCAGTCTTTCAATACTTAAAGGTGGCTTGTAAGAAAGATCATAGAATCATAGAATGGTTTGGGTTGGAAAGGACCTTAAGATCATCTAGTTCCAACCCCCTGCCATGAGCAGGGACACCACACACTAAACTATGTCGCCCAAGGCTCTGTCCGGCCTGGCCTTGAACACCTCCAGGGTTGGAGCATTTACAACTTCCTTGGGCAACCTATTCCAGTGCCTCACCACCCTCGCTGTGAAGAACTTCTTCCTCATATCTAACCTAAAGTTCCCCTGTTTAAATTTAAACCCATTACCCCTTGTCCTACCACTACAGTCCCTAATGAAGAGTCCCTCCCCAGCATCCTTATAGGCCCCCTTCAGACACTGGAAGGCTGCTTTGAGGTCTCCATGCAGCTTCTCTTCTCCAGGCTGAACAGCCCCAACTTTCTCAGCCTGTCTTCATACGGGAGGTGCTCCAGTCCTCTTACCATCAAAGATGGGGACAAACTGCTTAGGAGGGCCAGTAGCAACAGGACAAGGTATAACGGTTTTAAACTAAAAGAGGGTACATTGTGACTGGATACAAGGGAGAACTTCTTTATGATGAGGGTGGTGAAACACTGGCACAGGTTGCCCAAACAGGTGGCAGATGCCCCCTCCCTGGAAACATTCAAGGCCAGGTTGGACAGGGCTGTGAGCAACCTGCTCTAGTTGAAGATGTCCCTGCTCATTGCAGAGAGGGAGGGATTAAATGGCATTTAAAGGTCACTTCCAACCCAAACCATTCTGTGATTCTATGATTCTCTGTTTCTTAACAATGCTGAAGTCAATCTACAGACATGAAAACTAACCCAAGAGATTAAACACAGTCAGACAAGTCAACTTGCCTAATTTCAAGTCTCTTGTTATTTATATGATTACATATGTCTTGTGCCTGTGCTCTGTGGTCTATGAAATAGCATTTGCAGTTTGCAAAAGCAAGCAATGCTAATTACTAGTTAACTTGTGGTTTCCGTCCGTGTTTATTTTATAGATGTTAACCTGAAATTAAGTGAACACAAAAGAAATCGAGTATTTTCAGAGGCAACACAAGGCTGAGCCTCCTGACAGCTGCTGTGCTTTTGCAGAATTTTAAGATACATACGTACATTTTTCACCTTCCATTGCTGTTGAAGTTGTGCATATAAAAGGGAGAAATCAACTTCTTCGGGAAAAGCATGGCTTTAACTGTGATGGGTACTGATTTGTTATGTCAGACTGATCTAACTCAGAAAGAAGATACCAGATACAGGTTGCATACTTCAAGCACTCCAGTACCAGCACTCCCATCTCTGCTGCTTTAAATCAGAGCGAGCTGCCAGAACAGACCCACACCTCGCTCAGCAGATGCTTGGGAACGGGTGGAGGCAACCAGGAACTCCCG